CCTAGCTTGTAGGATCTTGAGCATGACCTTGCTAGCGTGTGATATGAGTGCAATTGTGCGATAGTTTGAACATTCCTTGGCGTTGCCCTTCTTTGGGATTGGAATGTATACTGATCTTTTCCAATCCTGTGGCCACTGTTGCGTTTTCCAAATTTGCTGGCAAATGGAGTGCAGCACTTTAACAGCATCATCTTCTAAGACTTTGAATAGCTCAGCTGGAATACCATCACCTCCACTAGCTTTGTTGTTAGCAATGCTTTCTAAGGCCCATTTAACTTCACATTCCAGGATGTCTGGCTCAAGGTCAGTGATTATACCGTCGTGTTTGTCAAGGACATTGAGGTCTTTCTTGTATAGTTCTTCTGTGTATTCTTGCCATCTTTTCCTAATCTCTTCTGCTTCTGTTAGGTCCCTACCGTTTTTGTCCTTTATCATGGCCAGCTTTGCATGGAACGCTCCCTTGATTTCTCCAATTTTCTTGAAGAGATCTCTAGTCCTTCCCATTCTATTGTTTTCTTCTATTACTTTGCACTGTTCATTCAGGAAGGCCTCCTTATCTCTCCTTGCTGTTCTCTGGAAATCTGCGTTCAGTTGGGTAAATCTTTCCTTTTCGCCTTTGCCTTTCGCTTTCCTTCTTTCCTCTGCTATTTGTAAAGCCTCATCAGAAAGCCATTTTGCTTTCTTGCATTTCTTTTTCTTTGGTATGGTGGTGATTGCTGCCTCCTGTACGATGTCACGAACCTCTGTCCATAGTTCTTCAGGCACTCTATCTATCAAATCCAGACCCTTGAATCTATTCTTCACCTCTACTGTATATTCATCAGGGATGTGATCTAGGTCAAACCTGAATGGCCTCATGGTTTTCCCGATTTTCTTCAGTTTAAGTCTGAATTTTGCAATGAGTAGCTCATGATCTGAACCACAGTCAGCTCCAGGTCTTGTTTTTACTGACTGGATAGAGCTTCTCCATCTTTGACTGCAAATTATATAGTCAATCTGATTTCGGTGTTGCCCATCTGGTGATGTCCATGTGTAGAGTCGCCTCTTAGGTTGTTGGAAAAGGGTGTTCGCTATGACCAGTGTGTTCTCTTGACAAAACTCTGTTAACCTTTGCCCTGCTTCATTTTGCTTTCCAAGGCCAAACTTGTCTGTTATTCCAGTTACCTTTTGACTTCCTACTTTAGCATTCCAGTCCCCTATGATGATGAGGACATCATTTTTTGGTGTTAGTTCTAGGAGGTGTTGTAGGTCTTCATAGAACCGGTCTACTTCAGCCTCTTCTGCATCAGTGGTTGGGGCATAGACTTGGATTACTGTGATGTTGAATGGTTTGCCTTGGAATCGGACAGAAATCATTCTGTCATTTTTGAGATTGTATCCCAGTACTGCCTTTTGCACTCTCTTGTTGACTATAAAGGCCACACCATTTTTTCTACGAGATTCCTGGCCACAGTAGTAGATATAATGGTCTTCTGAGTTAAATTCGCCCATTCCTGTCCACTTTAGTTCACTGATTCCTAGGATATCGATGTTCAGTCTTGCCATCTCATTTTTGACCACGTCAGGCTTACCTTGATTCATAGATCTTACATTCCAGGTTCCTATGTAGTATTGTTCTTTGCAGCATTGGACTTTCCTTTCACCATCAGACACATCCACAACTGAGGGTCCTTTCGGCTTTGGCCCAGCCGCTTCACTCTTTCTGGGGTTACTTGTACTTGCCCTCTGCTCTTCCTCAGTAGCATATTGGACACCTTCCGACCTGAGGGGCTCATCTTCCGGCGTCATATCTTTTAGCCTTTTGATACTGTCCATGGGGTTTTCTTGGCAAAAATACTGGAGTGGGTTGCCATTTCCTTCTCCAGGGGATCACGCTTGGTCTGAGTTCTCTGCTGTGGCCTGTCCGTCTTGGGTGGCCCTCCACGGCATAGCCCACAGCCTCATCGAACCACGCAAGCCCCCTCACCACGACAAGGCAGTGATCCATGAGGGGATGCAAATAGAAGCTTAATAGGATGTTATTTACCTCCATACCATGAAGAGCTTCAGCTGTCCATTTCTGTGAGGTATAGGATATTTTTCTCCAGGCCACTTGGCAGTCCAGTTGGCAATATGTTTGGAGGTTTCAGGGATTAGAATTCCATTGCCATAACTTGTTTAAAAGCATAGACAGTCCTTCTCTGTTCTCACTTGGCTGTTTAGACCATTCCACCTGTTGTCTGTATCTCCCTACTATCAGTCTCTTATTAGCATAAGGATATTAATAGAGCAAACATTCTAACAAAAGTAGAGGTTAACAATATGTTGACAGCCTGTTCCAGGTTTAGCATTATACTGTTTTACTACATGGTTAAGAACCTTCATCAGATTAATTAGAGTTTGGGGCTGCAAGAAATTAGAATGCCCCACTGTTAATTTAAGAGTTTGGTTTTTTAGCTTTCAAGGATAGATCTAAAAGTTTGCAGTACAACATTCATAGAACATTCTATGTTGTCAAGGAAAATATAATAGAAGGGTTTTTGTTTTTTTAATTGAGCTTTAGGTGTGTCTTTCCTCATGATCTGCAGCTTTGATAGGGGATTAACGTGTGCTTGTTTTTAAGCCTGAAAGTAGAAGAAAATCATACAGTTTCAATAATTTTTTTGATTATGAGCAAGTCCTGTCTACATCTCAGTTGAAGGAAAAATTAAAAGGCACTCCTATAAACAGGTTTTAGCTCTTACAACTACAGGTCTTGTTTAATCACAGGAACCTGAAAGATGTTCTTTCCAGGGAACTAACTGGCTGCATTCTGACGTAATGGCAAACTATGAATTATTATTAGTAGTAGTAGTAGTAGCAGCAGCAGCAGTTTTATACCGCACTCTTTGCTACCCAAAGGAGTCTTGGAGTGGCTTACAATAGCCTTCCCTTTCTCTTCGCACAACAGACAACTGTGAGGTATGTGGGGCTGAGAGAGTTCTGAGAGAACCCAAAGTCACCCAGCTGGCTTCATGTGGAGGGAATCAAACTTAGTTCTTCAGGTCACAGTCCACTGCTCTTAACCACTAGACCAAGCTAGGTCTCAGGCACATGAGCTCACTCCTCTTGCACACCAGTCAGGAACAGAATTCTCTTCTTGGTTCTTGCTTACAAACCCAGACCAAACCTGGATGCAGGACCCAGGACTTCCAAGGCTTTATACAGCTGCTTATTAGTCTTCTCTATATAGCTCCGGGAGTGATCTTGTGTTTACAGTATCATTTTTTCAAGATCCTTATCCAGAATATAGCCAGGATTAAGCACCTCAGGAGGTCAGTGGGAAAGACATTGTGGGCTCAGATATGGAATGCTGCCACATATTTCGTTAGTCTTTAAGGTGCTACTGGA